CCGCCCTCCCCCCTCACCTCGATCTCGCGGATGTTGTTGGAGGTGACGAAGATGCCGATGCCGATGGGGATGAAGATGAGGCCGATGATGAAGAAGGTGGGCAGCACCGTGCCGGCCGTGAGGATGGGCTGCCAGGCGGGTAGCCGTTGCTGCTTGAAGGCCGTGTTGTCGGGCCTCCGGGTCTTCGCGGGCCCCCCCGGGGCGCACGGGGGCCCGCCGTCCACCTCATCCTTGGCGTTGTAGTTCATCGCCATCGACCCCGGGGCGCGGCTTCGCGACGCGCAGGTGGACAGCCCAGGGGACCCGCCGGCCGACCCCGACAAGACGCGCAGGCGCCGCCGCTCCCGCCCCTGGCGTCGAGGCGGAAGGGGCGGGACAGTCCCCGGCAGAGGCCGCCGACCGGAAGCGAAAGTCGGCAAGAGACCAGGGAGAGGGGAAGGAAGGAGAAGACTGAGGGACCAGGGGAAGAGGGCGGAAGGGGGCGGGAAAAGGCGGACGCACCCGGATCATCCGCCTTGTGACGACAGCGGGACGGGCTCGGCCCCTGGAGCGGAAAGCCACGTGGGCGCATGCGCATGCCAGCGGGCGGGCGTGTCCGCGCGTGCGCCGTCGGCGCGCCCCCCATCGCCCTCGACACCTTCGTGGCGTGCGTACCTGGCGTGCTGCGAAATGGCGGCCGCTCCGGGCCTGCCTCCCGCTTCGGCGGCCGTCACCGACCCCCAGCGGGCGACCGAGCGGCCTTTCTGGTGGCTTCGACGCCGGGAAGGTTTCTCTTCTTATCTCGGCGCCTTGTCGGGCGGGAGGAGTCTCGAGCCTGCGGACGCGGGCAGGCCTGGCTCGGGCGGGGGCGCCGCGACACTCTCGGGTCCGAGCGCGAAAGTCGCCGCTCGAGGTGCGGGCGAGACCTCGGTCGGGTCGAGGGGCGCCGTCGCGACGGGGCCTGACCCCCCAGTTTGGCCCCGGGGACGGCCCCCCGCCGACTCCCCCGTCGGTGTCCGAGCTCCCGGTTGCCCAGAGTCGGGGCGCGTCCTGGAGCCGCCGCGGCTTCTCCTTTTGCTGTTGACAATCAAAGACCGGAACGTCTGCGGCATCGCTGTAAGAGGAGCTCCTCCTTAGACCCTTTTAAGCCGCCAGGTTTTCCGCGGACCCCGGAGATACGATCCGAAAAGTGGCCGAATCGGAATCCCAAAGCGGCGTAGACGCTGCAGGCGAGTGATGCCTATGGCCCAAATTTTAAAGGTCCGCAATGCTGCCCCCGTGGACCAGATGGAGGACTTCTGTTTCTTTGCACCTTTCTGCATTTTCCAAGATTTCTCCCACGAGCATATGTTGTTTGTGAAATTTAAGTGATTTTGCTGGCACCTTTGAAATCCAGACCAGAGAGTCAGTGACCTTATCTGAAAACACATGCCCTAACTATTTCTGTTTCAGGGCTTCGTTTGTAATGATGCCTCATTGCAAAGGAAAACTGAAGAGTTCTGGGTCCTCGCCGTTGACAGCGAGATTTTTTTTATTTTTTTTTTCCAAAATGACCGGGAGTCTCAAGAATGCGGGCCAATCAGATACTTAGTTGGCAGAGCTTAGAGGAGTATGATGTTTGGGGCCTTCTGATGGCTGATTTGCTTGGGTCTGCCCTTAGGCAGCATTCGTTATCTCTCAGGTTCTTAGCACTGCTCACACACTTAGGTCTATTTTGTTTTGGCCTGTGAAGTTTACCTATATCCGCAGGCTTGGTTGGAGAACAGTCTATCACTACACGACTCCTTTTGTTTTTTGTTGGGGTGCAATTCAGGGTTAAGTATACAAATATTCATTGTGCAGTTACCCTTGTTGGTGAGGTGTGCCCTCCCCCTTCCCCAGGCAGATTTCCACTACTGTCAATCTTGCCCCCCCCCACAGTTTCCCCGCTACTGTCAATCCTTTTCTTATAGTATTACAGTAGTTGTTCAAGGTGCACTTAAGAATGAGAACATGTGATACTCAGTTCAGGCCAATATCCTTGATGAACATAGATGCTAAAATTCTCAACAAGATCCTAGCAAACCAGATTCAACACTTCTCAAAAATCATCCACCACGACCAAGTAGGCTTCATCCTCGGGATGCAAGGCAGGTTCAACATTCAGAAGACATAAATGTAATTAAATACATCAACAATCGTAAAAACAAAAACCACATGATTATATCATTAGATGCAGAAAAAGCTTTTGATAAAATCCAGCACCCCTTCTTGATAAAAACCCTTTTGTTTTACTGAGTTTCCTTAGTAAAAATGTATGTCACGATATGGGTCGAAATGCAAAAGTACTTGCATAAAAGGCAAGTTTTCCCTCCCCGTTTCTGCTTACGTCCTTATGTCCACTAAATCTGATAGTTCCTTCATTGACTGGCTGTTCCAGCATTCTGCATAAATGGTCAATTATTTTGCCATTAGTTTTTGCTGCTGTTGTGATCTGAGTGGACACAATGTATTTATTTCCTTTTTCTTTAATTTTGTTTGCTGTTAGGAAAGACTAAGTTAATTCCTTGTCTCTTTGACTAGAAATCCCATTTTGACCAAAATAGACTTAGAGAACTGTACTTCCCTAGGTTCTTGTCCAAAACTTACATTTTCAAGATGAGGTCCAAATGGGTGAAATTGCTTTTCCAGGTCTCTTGATATCCCTCTGACTCTGCAGCCACACTTCACCCAGCTAAAATATTTCTTTCACTTCTTAATCATTATCTCAGGGGACTAAGAATTTTATAGTTTCCATGGTCACACATTGTTTTATGATAGGCCTTGCTAGGTAGTTTTTCATTTAGTCTGCTGAAGTGGGAGTTTTTCAAAGGAAAGTGTTTTTTAGCATTTCTGGGCAACAAAAGAGAATGATTATTCTCACAGCGGATTACCAGTGTGTACATATTCAAACTGGTTGCTAGGGGTGACTGTGAGTGGATGATACATTTAGATAACAGTTGTATTGTTCATGTGCCCATTCCAGGTAAAAGTGGAATTTATGTGACTAAATGACATTTATTAATGCTATCAGCGCAACATAGTCAGTATGCAGTCAATACATGAGCCCAAATATGAAAGTGAATCCAAAGTGATAAAACAGGCAAACCTGACAACCTTAAGAGGTGTGTATACTTAGCTTTTCAAGGGGAAGTTTTACACAATTTTCAGTTTTCGTTTATTTGCTATATTTCACAGCCCTCAGTAGCCAGAGAAAAACAACAAGTGCTTCCACTGTTCTGGTGCTACTTTGCAGGGGGCAGAATATCCCTCCTCTCACCTGGGCAGAACCTGGGCCCTTCCAGTCCTTCAGATGGACACTGCAGCCGCCAGGACTCTGGTTAGCTGCCCCTCCCCCAGCTAGACAGTGGGGCACCCAAAAACAGCATCTTGCAGGGGATGGTGGCAGAAACGTCCACGTGGCAAACAAGCCAATGGTGCTCCCACCTGAAGCAGGGTGTGTAGAATCGCACACTCACGTTTGCATTAAGTCGAGAGAGACAAACGATCGCAAACGCATGCCATGCAGAAGCCGCAATGGCATGCATGAGGAAAATAATCGGAGGAAAAAAATAGAGAAGAATAAGTTTTGGGTAACTTAGGAAATGAAAGGGAGGACACTGACCTTTTTGCTGCTTGGCCAAAGAAGATCTGCCCCACAGATTTGTTTGTTGGACTTCTTTGATGTATGGTGGGCTTTAGCCCCCTGACTTTTAGCCACATTCAAACCATTTCATTCACACCTGTAACTTAAGGATGTTTCAGAAAGTTGAAGAAGGCTGACAAGTGTGTCATAGCTTTTACTGGCATGAGTTTCAGAGAAAGTTCTTGGTGATTTGAACATGGTTTGAATTGTCTTCAGTAACTGTGTAATATCTTGACTTGTTTATTTTTTGCAAGAAAAAAAAAAATCTCTTTTTTTCCTATTTATTTAACCATGGCAGCTTAGAGAACTTCGGTGGAACTATGATATTTATTTTTAATTATTTTTAATTGTCTCAGAGGACTTTTGGAAAGAGTGATGTAGCATTTTTTGTTTTGTTTTGTTTTGTTTTTTGTTTTTGTTTTTGAGTTGGTGTCTCTCTCTGTCACCCAGACTGGAGTGCAGTGGCCGCTCCTGGCCACTGCAGCCTCGAACTGCTGGGCTCCTGCGATCCTTCTGCCTCAGCCTTCCAAGTAGCTGGAACTATAGGCACACCCTACCACGCTCAGCTAATTTTTGATTTATTGTAGAGATGAGGGCTCACCGAAGTTGCCCAGGCGGGTCTCGAACCCGCAGGCTCAGGCAATCCACCCACCTCAGCCTCCCAAAGCGGGGAATTACAGGCTGAGCCACCGAGCCCAGCTGATGTAGCATTTTATAAGAAATTTGATTTCCTGCATTTATTACATCAGAGTGATTCAAACTAACTTTGAAAAATTACTTTTTAAAATTGACCGTTTTCTGATTTTCCCAACTCTTTCAGTTAGATATTTAATGAAATCCTTTTATTCTGACATTAAAAGATTGTCCGATTAGCATTGGTGTTGTGGGAAGGATTTTGTAAGTCCTTGAGTAACCAGTCAATAATCAGGAAAATGAACCAAACAAGATTTTTTTCATGGTTAATGTCACTAGAGAAAAGAGCGGTGACACCAAAATTCCTTTGTTGAAAGCCTAAGAACTTTGTTTTGAGGAGGAAATGCTGTTTCATTTCTCATAATTTAATAGTTTCTCTAAATGAAAGATTATAGTAATAACCAGACCTCAGACTTCCACTACAGAGACTCTCTCAGTTGATTACATCCCCGTGGCACTATTTTTTCAGTAGGTGCTGTCAATTATAGATAAGGTCTTTCCTTCAAATATGGTGCTGTCATCTCTAGGTTGACAGCTAGCTGACATCTGTTACATGTATAACAGTGAAATTAATTATTTAAAAAGGGAGGTAGAGGAGAGAAGAGGCTTTCTTAGCTTATTCCATGAGAATGATCAAGAGATACAGGAAAGATCTTTTTAAAAATGTTAATCCTTTATAAATTACATGTTTGGACTATTTTTAGACTTATTTGAAACATTCTTTTCTATTTTTCCATGTTTTACAATATTGAAAATCTGGGGGGGGGAGCATTTCCTCATTTGTTTTTTGAAATGCTTGAACCACTACTACCTCATTCTTTAAAATAACTTGTACATATTCTTGAGGGATCTTCACAAAATGGACTTAGATGTGAAAGTCGACTTTTGTTGAGCCTCAGAAATGAAACACATTTTTTAGTCGGTGGCACTCAATATGTATGACCGCAAGTCCAAGACCGAGGGCTTTCCTCTGACCAGCACACTGTGAGGCACAAGGTAGGGTTCAACAAGCTGTTCCA